CGCTCGACAGCGACGCCAACGACGCGGTGCGCAGCGCGCGCCAACGCGCCAACTCGCCACGCGACAAGGCAAAGCAAAGCAAGGCAAGGCAAGGCGATGCGATGCGATGCGCGGGAGTTCTGCACACGCTAAGGGCCTCACGCAATGGAACGTCTCTTTCCTTGGAGTATATTTAACGACTCTGCGGCTTCATTAAAAAGTACCACGACTTATTTCCTTTCGAGTCCGTTGCATAGCGTATCGATCGAAGTACGTCTTCTAATTAAATTCTATTTTACATTCTCGAGAATCCTCATTAGCAATGCTGCATATCCATTCTGAATTTTGTATAAACTCAGCTCGATGAAAATGAAATGGCATTTTGAGTCTTATCATTCGCAGCCCTCATTAGCCCATTCAATGCACGTTTGAAAAGTAATTTATTTTTGTCATATTTAACATGTATTTCATATAGTAATTCATACAAAGTACGTCGGTAGTACATTAGAAACTGAATATAATTGAAACTTGTAACTATTCCACCCTAGTATGATATTTTTTAACTGAACATCCCACAGTACTTAGTTCCGCACATATCATCCAAATAAATGTTAACTTCAGCATAGCTGATTAAATTTTGAAGAGTATATCATTGGTGTGCTATCTATGGTGAAATATCGCACCTCCAATAGAAAAGTGACAAGTGCAAAATCGTCATTTTTCAGCTAAAAGCTGATAAGTGGTTACCAAGAGGTACTGCTACTATTCTGAAGTTGATTTTGAATTAGTTCAATTACTGTCCGCTAGAAGGTGAATATTTGGTACAATCTATAACGAGTATTACAGAACTACGAAACCTAAAATTGCCATTTCTGAGAAATCAGAAATTCATACTTGCGTCTCTTTTCTATTGGAGGTGCGATATAATTCTGCCTTTTTTGACGAATACCGTTTAATTCCTTGGAAACAAGTTTAATTCAACGAGTTGGTCTTTCAGACCAACGATCGACGTTTGATTTTCGTGGTATAAAGTGGCAACAGACGCGGAACTCGATTGATCATTGAGTGAGTAATAGGCCTGTTTATCTACTTTCAGTCGGGATTTCATTGTCTCCGCTCTACTCTTTGATTGCTTGTTTGCTTTCTCGCCCATTGAGAGTGCGAATGTTTCAGAGTCATGCTCCTACGATACACTACTGCACAGAGACAATTGAAGTGAAATGAAGCTAGAAATTGAAGAGAGCATAAGATGACGATGCTTTTTTTTCTCTAGGCAGGTTCTGCGCCTTCAAGAAACCATCGCAAGGCATTTTCGAAGACCATAATTTTTGAATGACTACTTTCACCGGCAGGGAAATAAACAACCTCACAATCGATGCTTGAAATAGATTTGCTGCGAGAAGTCCTATATGCTGTAAAATACGTGCATCGATAATAAATTAATGTTACAATATGCGCAAGTTTATTCCTCGCAAGAAAAATTTCATATTCCAAAATCAGATACACTATTTTCTTGTTTATTAGAATTTATGTAGTATTGTGAAAGTTATGACATGCAGCACAAAATAGATTTTAGAGGATAATAAGTGGTTTGGATATGCCTAATACCGAACATGTTCTTTTAAACCGTCTGGTTGTACGTTCGTTTTTGTGGAGAGAATGTTTCAAATTATAGATTTTGGAGAATCTCGAAACCGGACAAGTTTTCGGGAGAACATCTTTATTTTTGTTGTTTGGTAATAAGAGGTAGTAGGTATTGGTAATACGTTGATTAGGTATTAGAAAAACTTCGGTCTCATAGGCGAACTGTCTTCCGTGTCTGCCTACCAATGCGGTCGCTGAAGTCAACTGCAAACTTCAAATCTTGGAAAGTTGTTACTTATCTCCCGGGTTTCATTTGTTGAAGAGAATTGTTTTGAGTTCTGTAAATAACTAGTAGGATAAAAGTCGCAATGTCGTAATACTGTTAAATATTATGTAACAGTTACAAATAATACTATGAAGTCTGTCCTATTATAACACTCCTAGTTAAATAAAAGGTTGTGATAGAATTTAAAGGTTGTGATAGTACGTAAAAAGCTTTGCAATTTGTACTATAATGCAATCAGATCAGCACCGAAAAGCAGAGTTTCAGATTTCATCAAAATTAATTTAGAAGCTCTAAGTACACGGAAAGAGAATTTTAGAGATACACGCGACGGTACACAGGCAGCGAAAGGTCATATTAAAATTTCAGTCTCCTTCAGGCCCTGTTGTTTCTCAGCATTCACTATCACTCTTTCTCTAAATATTTCAAGTCGCTCCTCCCCAGTATGAGCAAAAACAAGTACGTCTCAACATTCCAGTAATGACATTGTGTGAACTTATAATGGAACGTTTTTCGAACAATGTAAACGGAAACGAGGCGCGTATTCAATTATCGCATTACATTTCTCTGAATACACCTTATTAAAAACCCGATTACTGAGCCACATGTACTTGATATTTATGTGGGTATCAAATTATTGACGTACAACAAAAGTGGCATATCGAAACTTGTCATTTGTAAGTTACGGAAAGTAATGTTTAGAAAATAGTATATTTTTACGCTTTAATATTTCATGAAGATTGTTAACAATACATACTCAATTTAGTAAAACACTGACTATGTTAGCGAGATAAACAGCTATGTTTAGTTAAGCCCGTTTTCTTGCAAAATGGTCATTTTTAAGATGCGTCATTATTCTTACACATCGTCAAAATATTTTTAATATCCTTGCTCCAAAACATACATGAAAAAAACATTTATCTCAATCGCACGAGCTCTATTCCGAGAAAAGTTGCACGAAAGGGGTCGATCATGTTTTTTTCGATATTTTCCCATCAATTTAATTGCTCCGAGGCCAATTTTGCAACAGTCCTAAAACAGTACACCATGAGTCATGGAGCAGTGACCGAATCTGAACGAGACAACCTCTTCATTACTCTTGGAACGATTCCTTCTGCGCTTCAGGGTTGCGTGTTCGTGCCATGACATCACGCCACGCGTCCCCAGCCGCAACGCCAAAAGACGGGGTTACAAGTTCAGCTATGTAGTTACGACAACGCGCCTTCAGACCAGGGGGCCTCGGAGTGGGCGCGTTGCGTTCTGAACGAGACGACGAACGAAGCGCAACTGTCATAAATAATAGTTTAATTTATTAAAAATGCACACTCTTATTTACTAATTTGAAACACTGCATTAATATGTAACATTTCACACATTTTTTTAACGATTTTACTATTTTGATTACCGATTATTTAACTCAGGGGGGTTGAAAAGTAATGTTTATCTAAGCGGATGTTTTGCAATGTTAAAACTGGTACAAAGGTGGTGGGAAGAGAAGAAGGGTAGAAATAGCTACATTTTGTCTAAATGAGCTTCGGTTGAATGCGCTCTGCACCAGACCTATATTTGAAGTGTAAATGGTCCAAGAGCAGAGAAGAGAACCTGACCCTCTTGATCTGAACCTCGAGATCGTAGCCTAAACAGAGTACAGGATACACAACTAATGAACTTTATAGCATACACAGGCATTTAATTTATGAGACACCAGAACCACGAAACATCACATCTTAGTTTGTATTTGTTTCTTTATGTATACCGACGAACCAGCAAAACAAGTTGGCAAATTGCTCATTCAAAAAATGAATAAGGAATGTAATTAATACTTATTTTGATTGCCTAATACAGAGTGTGACTGCAGGAATGTCACTGACTTAAATTGCGTAGTAACCACTATTCATCATTTACGTATTTCAAAGTGCAATAGGTACGCATGCAGGACAACACGACAAGAAGTGAATTAATGAACGATATCTTCCATTAAACAATTGAAATAAGTCAGAATTATTTTAGAGTTCTAACTGCATCTGCGTCTACAACTTCATTAAGAGTACGTTATGCGAAATAAATTTAGACAAGGAATCGAATCCTCGACTCATTTTGAGTGGTGGAAAATGTAACTGAATGAGCTTAACCGTCGAAAATCAGCCATTCAATCATAGAAGTTCTATTGTTATTGCGGGCTCTTTAATTTTTGTGATCAAAAACTGTTGTTGTACGGTAGAATAAGCGATTTCGCTTATCAACTTATTCAGAATTTTAGGTTTTTGCTTCCAAATTTACGGGAGTTTGCACACGTATGCTACTCAAAATACCATTAAAATAAGAAAACAATGGAAACGTAACATAAAGAGAAACAACCTTCCAATAAAACCCTTTTTAACGTGTGTCAAAAATCAGTTTTTTCAAACTCACCCAATCGCTTTATTATTAGTATTATCAAAATCTAATAACCGTGATTAAAATTAAAGCCTATATGTTATTTTAGGATAAACATTGCTCAAAGCAGGAAAAAAGATTCTGGAAGAATTGGACCGGTCTGATCTGAAAGAATCTCAATAAATCTAGACATTTGAACTTCAAACTGGGAACGTCGAATCTATGTTCACGCGGTAAATTATGAAATACGAACCTAAACAATTATAATGACGTAAGAAATAAAAAATATTTTAAGGAAATTTATCTCCCACGCGCATGTTTGGGCGATCACAGGAATGTTTCTGCGAAAACTCGTCCCGCGTCTGTCAAACGTCTTGTGCAATTTCTAAGTTATACAATTTGCGTTAGGTAGCTTTGGCAATAAATCAATAAAACTGAATGCACCTGTACATTAAGTATAAACCTTTCTATTATACAAAAGGAGTGTTAACTGGCTAATTACAAAGGAATACATCAGGGGTGACCAGAAGAGGGGGGGGTAGTTGGAGCAATATGTCCCAAGCCTTAATTGGAGCTCCGAAAATTTGTTCATTAAAAAGTAATAAAAATGTATTAATATCTAGTCCAAACTTAACGCTATAAGTTATTTCTGTTGCACGGAGAAATTAATTCTGTTTATGAATTGGAAGAGGAGAACATTGTTGGTTTGAAACGGTCCATGGTCCCCGTGGCTGCCCTGCCCCAGCCCCCTGGAATAAATCCACATGGGAGTACTCACCGATCAAGATGGCTCCGGCGATCTCGAAGATGGTGGCGAGGATGCAGGCCTGGCGCACGGTGAGCACGCGGCTGCCCACGGAGGTGCCGAAGGAGTTGGCGACGTCGTTGGCGCCGATGCCGAACGCCAGGACGAAGGCGATGACGAAGCCGACGATCACGATCCAAAGGATGTCCGGGCTGAACGGAGGGAGCATGTTGCCGGCCGGGAGCGGTGCAAACGACGCAGAAAAACGAAGAGACTCCTGCTGGACCTTCTACTCCACAGTTCGCTCACGCCCTCTCAACAAGCCAGAGTCTTGGCCACGTTCAGTGAAGTAGTGTTCCTTAAAGTACTTGCCGAATTGGTAATCGAAATTAAATACTTAGGCCTCGACGTTACTTTCCCCGTAAAAAAATTGTTCTCAAAATAAATTCTTCGCTACGTCTTATCAACTGACGATCTTTACGAGCGTACCTATGCCTTTCTTCTCGATATAAAAATATATAAAATATATAAATAAATAAGTGCGATTTAAGTATTCTTTCAGGTTCTCTCGAGTAACCCTATAACAGCCACAAATGTCAAACTCTCACCCGCCTAAACTCACGCTTTCTCACGAACAAAACTAAACGTTATATCCTTTCTTCGTTCTGTATCCCTTCTTTGTTACAGGAAGGTCGACGCCGACAAACGAAGGGCTTCCACGCCAACAAACAAGGGATTCGAGAACTTGAATGGCGGCGGCTGCGCGTGTGTGTGTGGTGAGTGGCGACGACTGTGGCGCTACGCGCACATGGCGGCGTCGGCAGCAGTTGCGGGGACTGGAACTCCGGTGGCGCACGCTGGTGCGACGGCGGCGGC